AACTTTGTAAAACATGTCAGGTGAAGTTTTGCATCGCAGGTACTCGAGAACATTCTCTGCCGCGTTTTCGTTATCTTATACATGCTTTCGTTACTTTCAAATGCTGAAATGTCTGCTGCTAGAATTCTAAAAATAAACGAGATTATTATCCCATTAGAGGCCGATCTCACTTTCACATTTTCAGGAATGCTTGCTCGAAGATTTCCACGCGAAGAAATCGTTTCGCCCGATTCACATCATTCGGAGAGAAGTCGTTTGAACAACGGTAGCAATTCCACAATAACAAGGAAAGCTTGAATATAGACAGTGTACACGTTTATTCGACTCATACAATTACACTTTATCTTTGGAACTGGCTTTGCAGCACACAAAAGTGCGACTAAATTAACAGGTCGGTGTTCTCGAATCATGCTCTATTTTTATTATGTTTACGGAGCGCGTTACCTTGCAATCCGTAAGTCTATCCCGTATATTATTATCTTTCTATTACTATTCCCTATTATTAGAAGGTAAAGTTAAAGTTAACCGCATTGCTACGATTGATATCGTGAACTTGAAGACGATAAATCAGATAATAAACGTTAAATAAGGAAACCCATGGGTATATATCGAATATCCACAAAAATCACAATACTTTTTTTTTTTTTTTTTTTTTTTTACATTTTTCAAATCTTTACGTACGAGACAGAGGCAGAATCAACGGCGTTCAATGTTTCGTTCTAACGTGCCGATTGAGATTGGTTTTTTGAGAGAACTTGGTCTTGCAAATCGGACAACTGAACTTCGGCTCGACGCCGCACTCGTAGTTTCGATGTCTCCAAAGTGACGTGCACAACTGGTAACTACGATTGCAATTAGGGCAGGTATGCTTCTTCTTCCTTCTTCTGTCCTGCTCGGCTTTCCCCATAACCGTCGGCAGCAAGTTACACTCGAAGCTTCTGTGACGTTTCAACGAGGCCATTAAGGCAAAGCAACGATTGCAATCGGTGCAGAGATACTTCCGTGGGCCGTATCTGCGCATCTTGTCTTGACCACCCTTCAATGTCATGGATCGGAGGTGTCTAGTACAGGTGACGGGATTGCTCGGTATTGTCGACATCGTTGGCAATGTCAGCACTGTCCAATTAGACGAGCTGTAATTCTGTGTATCTGAAAACGAACAAACGAAATAAAAGACTTTTAGCATTCTCCTCTATACGCGATAGTAATAACGATGAATAACGCGCGATCGTAGATCTGCATACGTTCTATCGTCATCGATCTGAGATATCTGACATCTGGAAATATATGCTCGTAGTTTCATAGCGCGCGTGTCGTTCCGTTCGAATGACAGAAAACGTAAAATACAGAGGATCTTTATTTACAATGATGTTTTGCAATGATGTGTCTACAATGATGATATATAGACAATAAAAACACGGGCTGACGGTGTTTAGATGCGGTTTGGATGCGAAGCAAAAATGTTGATGGCGATACGAAAGATCTTATAAATTTTGCGGGAAATCTTGGTAAGAAGCGAACATGGTTCCCTGAATGTGCACGTTACCCTCGACATCGGCAAGGGCGTTCACCTGTTGCAATCTGTAACGTGGATTTTGATCGAGAAATAGTCGATGCCTTGCCAGTATGTGCTTAATCAGACTATCCTTATACCGAGTTCTATGCGAGCAGAAGGCGCATTTGAACTTTGGATCGATGCCGCATTCGAAATCGTGATGCCTCTTCAAATGATGCTTGTGTTTGTACGTTTTGCCGCAGGTGGTACAGGTGTGCTTGAACACCGAAATCACAGGATACTGGCACTCCACTGAAACAAACGTGAAATTTCATCGATTAGTGGAAATCGGAAGTTCCGAGATGATACAGTTCCCAACTTAACTCTCGTCGAACCCGTTTGTTCCTCGAACGATCCGACAAATAAGAAAAACGAAGAAAGAAAAAAATAGGAGGTGACGGCTCTCGGGAGGGAAGGAACGCACCAAACACCAGACAATCGTTTGATATAGAACGTGTCAGA